GCACAGCACCACAGGAACCAGGTCAGGTACAACCTTTGAGCACACGGGGAGCTGTGAGAAATGCTTATTAATGGTCAGTAATCATTTCTCTCCGGCATTAAAGGCTCCTCACTCCTCTCCTTGCCCTAGGAAAGCAGGAATTCCACAAACACCAAAGGAGCTCACACATCACCAGATCACCACAGGCAGCCACAACACGCAGGAAAAGCCCAGCCCTCAAAAATTGTTCACTCGTGGTTCCAGCAGGTCAGTGGTCACTGCAGTGCCCAGGGGAAAAACAGCTTTCCCAGCTTTATGGAGCCATTTCTGCTTTTGGAGTAGGGAGGGGTGATCCCACTGTGGCCAGAGCTCTCTCTTTGCTGCCCTAATTGTCAGCTCTGGAGGCCAGAATTTACTCATCATCTGCTCATTTTTAAACAAACATCTCCATCCTGAAAGGCTTTACGAGGACCCAGCTCTGGGGCTGGGGAGCAGGAGAGCTCTCAGAGCTGGTGCTCCAGGATCCCAGCTCAGGGACTGGAACTGCCCACATCAGGGGTCTTCCCTTTCCCAGGAAAACCCTCCCATGACAGCTTTTGGTAACAATTTTGTGAACAATTTTTAAGTTAGATATTTGTCTTAACACAGCTGCACTAACGAACATTTCTCATATAATTATCCATATAATAAAAAGAGTCATCATCATCATCATCATCATTTGAGAATGAGAGCATAAAAGCTTGGTTTTCCTTACCTTTTTGGAAAGCAGGCAAAAGCTATACAGTAGGTGGAAGAGTGTACCAAGTAACAGACTTTTGAACACTCTTTCTTACTGGTGGTATAGAGTCTACAGGGAAAGTAAATACATTGAATGTAGGACAGGTGTGGGCAGAGGAACGCCCCCAGCCTGCCCTGCCGTGAGCTCCTGCCATTCCCCTGGCCCAGAGTGGGCACTGCAGAGCTGGGGGCAGCAGCACAGGACAGCAGCCCTGGGCAGCACCAGATGGGCCAGCTCAGGATGCTCAGGAACCTCCAAACACTGCAGCAGCACAGGACAGCAGGGCTGGGCAGCACCAAACAGGCCAGATGGGGGAGCTCAGGGAGCTCAGGAACCTCCAAACACTGCAGCAGCACAGGAGAGCAGGGCTGGGCAGCACCAAACAGGCCAGCTCAGGGAGCTCAGGGAGCTCAGGAACCTCCAAACACTGCAGCAGCACAGGAGAGCAGCCCTGGGCAGCACCAAACAGGCCAGCTCAGGATGCTCAGGGAGCTCAGGATGCTCAGGATGCTCAGGAACCTCCAAACACCGCAGCAGCTGCTCACAGGAGAGCAGGGCTGGCCCAGCACATTTCCCTTCCTCTCCCCTGAAGCGACTCTGGGATATTTTGGCTGCAGTTTCAGACCCCCCTGTCCCTCCTCAGCCACAGAGTCACTCACAGCTTCCTTGGCATCATCAACAGCCATTTTAGTGTGTTCCAGGGAGGTGGAAGGAGTAACTACATGCAAATCTCAACGTAAGTTAAGTAGGGGTTGGAGGTTCAGGCGTTTCTCTCCCAGTCTGACACTGCTCCTGCAGCAGGAACTGGAGAAACATCTTCCCAAACAGTGAGAAATTCAACCAAAGGCACACAAGAGCACAACAAACCCATCCCAGGGCTGCTGTGCACCAAATCCTGCTGATCCCAAAGGAGCACCAGCGGGGAAAGCCGTGCTGTGAGTGACAGCAGGCACACGCCAGATGGCAAACAGGAATGATTAAGAGAGTTTTCCTAAATGGACTGGAAGGCTTGGCCTTAATATATCCCATTCAGCATGAAAGCCCTCCCACGGTGTGGCTGGGGAGCTCAGCTTGTGAAACTTCTGCTTTCCCAGAGATCCCAAGGAAATGTGTAACGTGCCGAGTCCCGTTCCCTGACGGGTGGGAGATCATTTCACGTGATTCTCCTCTCGTGTCACTCACTGGCTCCTTTTGGACTCACTCCAAACCCCTCTCCCAAGTGCTCTGCACATTTTTTTCTGAGCCTGAATCCCAGCAGATTCCCAGAGTTGTGTGCAGTGGCTGTTCCCTGCTCCTGGGATCCCACTTGGGGAGCTCACAGACCTTCAGCCTGACCTGCACATCCTCACTGCCACAGAAGGGTCTGTGCTGGAAGGGACCTGAAATCCCCCCCAGTGCCCCCCTGCCACGGCAGGGACACCTCCCACTGTCCCAGGGTCACCTCCCACTGTCCCAGGGTCACCTCCCACTGTCCCAGGTGCTCCAGCCCCAATGTCCAGCCTTGGGCACTGCCAGGGATCCAGGAGCAGCCACAGCTGCTCTTTTCCTGTAAAGATCTGCTAAAACTTGGAGATTTTCTCAAGGCTATTTCTCTGTAAAACCACCCACATTCTGCTCGTGGTTTGACTGTGGCCTGTGATCAGGACTGGCCATGAATCTGGGCTCAGTCTCTGAATTTCCAGTGTTTGGAGGTGCATGGATCCCGTGCTGGTGCTCCCTGGCTCTCGGAACAAAAGCAACACTCGTGGCTTTCCAACAGCAAAGGCAGCCCCAGCATCCAGCAGCTGAGCAGGCAACAGCAGCAGCCCCGTGAGACAGAACAGAAAATCAAACTGGAAACCCCCACTGTACTTGCACAACCTCTTTTGATCCTCTCCAGCAATCCCCTGCTCCTGCCCCCTGAGCTCCAGAGCCCCGAGAGGCTCCGAGGACCAAAGCCTGCCCCAGCCCTGGGGGGACCAGGCAGCCCCTGCCCCACAGGCACCGGGGGCAGCTGAGGGGAGCAAAGCCAATTTCACAAAGAAATCCTGAAAAAACATCCTTTGCTTTTCTTTTCAAAGATGTTTGAGATGTTTTTTAAAATTGCTCCGAGGATTGATGCATCCAGGGCAATTTGTAATTCACATTTCCTATTTTCTGATTGGTAAAACTCTGGGAATTTCCCCATTCAACAGTATAAAATATTTTTAAAGTAAAATTGCTATAAAAACATCAAACCCATTTTTACGTATGGACACCATACTCAAAATTTCACTGAAAATTAAGTTGGAGGAGTTTTTCTTGGATGTTATGACTTTTTTTTAAGCTTGCTAATACAACTACCATTTTTTTTCCACCTAAAAATGGAACTGTAAACAACCTTTTTTCAACAGGTTATTCAAACTTTAAAAAAAGAAACTGAGTTCAGGTGTTCAGTGAATTACTTTTACACACATTCATGAACACCACCTGAGCAGGGGGCTGATCAATAACCTAATCAATGCTATAGGACAGCAACTGCAGCACTTACACTGTGACTAATGTACCCAAAAATTTTTAAGTACAGCAGAAGTTTATTTCATTTGATTTTCTAATAATTGTTATGAACACACAGATCTGGGGAATGAATGAGTAGTGCTGGTGCAGCTGAGACTATGAACAGATGGAATTCTATATAAATAATGAAAAAGTTTTTAAAAAATACATCTTTCACAAGTGATAAAAAAGAAGTAAAGCTTTATAAACCAGAAACTCGGAGATTGCACATTTCCTAACAAACACATTTATGAGCTTTAAAATCCCACTCAGTGATGGTTCAAGGCAAAAGTGGCACATCTGGGCGAGCCAGGGGCCTCTGCCCCTTGTGCCTCTTAAAAACATATTCTGGCCTGCAGCCCTGGACTGAAAATGGGGTGTTTGACCAGAAACACGGGGGTCAGGTGAGCAGTATTTATTTTTAGTAGACAGATTTCCTTCTCAAAATAAAATCTGGCTTTGGTGGGAGGGGAAAATATTCTCAGAAGTCTGAAACCAGCAGTAAGATGTAGCACAGGAGGATGAGAGCAGGAGGGGACCCTGGGCTGGGATGTCCCACAGGGAACACTGCAGCATCACCAGCTTGGCTGGTTTTCTCTTGGTTCAAATTTCAGCATGACATTCTCAGATTTTGGCTTTTGTAGGGGAGAAACTAATTTCAGCTTAGTTGATCCAAACAGTGATTAATTAGTGAGGTGCCCCAGCAACACATTCCCCTGCCCTGGCCCAGCTGCATTTCAAATTCTCTTTTCCTTGCTGAAGTTTGCCTCGGCAGAGGACCCAGGGCAGGAATTGCGTTTGTTTCCTCCTGCTCTGTCCAAGGCAGCTGGCCCAGTACAGCTCTCAGCCTGGAGAAACATCTCCACGCCAGAGCCCAGCCCAGCTCCCCAGCACCGATTTAGTGTTTGCAGCTGGAACGTCCCGTGTACACCTGCACCATCAGGCATCCAGGGGAATCCTGCAGGGGTGAGCAGGGCAGGAAGGTGCTGTGCCAGGGATCTGTTGGTGCCACCCTGCTGTGACAGCAGAGCCGCTGCTCCGGGCAGGAATTGCAGCGGCACTGAGGGGACGAGACGTGGCAGGGATCCGGCAGCAAATGGAGCACGGGCAGGGACAGGGCTCCACACTCAGATCCGCTTTTGCACTAAAACTGCAGACGTGCCCAAAGCTTTGCAGCGTGCTGCGGAGTTGTGCAGCTGTCTCCTTCCTCAGCTCCTTCCAGATTCAAATGCAAATCAAATTGGATGGCCTCAGTCTGTAATTTCGTGCTGTGCTATCCTCTGCTATGCACATTAAGGAAACTAGAAGTGTCTTTGCCATCTATTTTCCTTTTAAATCGGTGGCAAGATTTGCATTAAGACCAGATAAAATCCCTAAATGGGAATCTTCAGGGACCGTGAGACTTTTGCAAAGCAAGATTGTGAGAATGAGGATGAAAGTCGGGTTAGCGGAGTTCTCGCTGAGTTTGGTGCTGGCCCGGGAAGCTGGACACGGGCTGCAGGGCTCTGTGCCCAGGGATGCGCTGACCCTTCGCCCACAGAGGGAGAGCAGGGGCAGCACGAGGCACTCCCAGCTCCCAAACACCTCCCGAGGAGCCGCCGCCAGGCGGCACGGCTCAAAAATCAGAGCCAGAAACGGCCAACTCTGAAAACCAGGCCAGAGCCGCAAAGCCCGCGATGGAGCAGCGCAAGCAGCGGAAGGCCGGGCTGCCGCAGAGCCCCGTACTCACTGTTGGGATCCACGTTCTCGCACAGCTCCGTCTTGGCCTCGCCGTTGGGCCGGTCGCTGGGCTTGTGGGACAGGCGCGAGGACATGGTTGCCGCCGTCACCACGGCCTTGAAGCTGCGCTTGCGCTTCTGCACGTTGAGCTCGGGGTGGAAGATGATGATGTAAACCTTGGGCATGTAGAGCATCCCCAGCGCCACCGACGCGCTCAGGTTCATGGAGATGGTGAGCGTGGTGGTTTGGATGTAGAGCTGCGGGGGACAGAGAGGGGTTACACTCACTGCACTGCACTGCACACCAACACCCGCTGGAGGGGTGTTCTTAACAGTCTGTGTGTGTGTAACACACCAACACCCGCTGGAGGGGTGTTATCAACCAGTCTGTGTGTGTGTCACACCAACACCCATTTTACACCGATTTTTCACCGGTTTGCAGGTGTTACACACCAGGCCTGGCCAGGCTGCAGCACTGCACACACACACACACACTCACACACACTCACACACACACAC